AAGCCGAGATTCGAGAGACCGCTGAGGTCGAAAACCAAAAGTAGAGACCGTTGAGGTCGAAAACCGAGAGTTGAGACCGTTGAGGTCGAGAACCGAGAGTCGAGACCGTTGAGGTCAAAAACCGAGAGTCAAGACCGTTGAGGTCGAAAACCGAGAGTAGAGACCGTTCAGGTCGAAAACCGAGAGTGGAGACCGTCGAGGTCGAGAATCGAGAGTCGAGACCGTCGAGGTCAAGAATCGAGAGTCGAGACCGTTCAGGTCGAAAATCGAGAGTTGAGACCGTTGAGGTCAAAAACCGAGAGCTGAGACCGTCGAGATCGAGAACTGAGAGTTGAGACCGTTGAGGTCGAGAATCGAGAGCTGAGACCGTCGAGGTTGAGAACCTAGAGTTGAGACCGTTGAGGTCGAGAATCGAGAGTCGAGATCGTTGAGGTCGAGAATCGAGAGTCGAGATCGTTCAGGTCGAGAACCGAGATTCGAGACCATCGAGGTCGAAAACCGAGAGTCGAGACCGTCGAGGTCGAGAATCGAGAGTCGAGACCGTTGAGGTCGAGAATCGAGAGTCGAGACCGTTGAGGTCGAGAACCGAGAGTGGAGACCGTTGAGGTTGAGAATCGAGAGTCGAGACCGTTCAGGTCGACAACTGAGAGTTGAGACCGTTCAGGTCGAAAACTGAGAGTTGAGACCGTTCAGGTCGAAAACTGAGAGTTGAGACCGTTGAGGTCGAGAATCGAGAGTTGAGACCGTCGAGGTTGAGAACCGAGAGTTGAGACCGTCGAGGTCGAGAATCGAGAGTCGAGACCGTTGAGGTCGTGAATCGAGAGTCGAGACCGTTCAGGTCGAAAACTGAGAGTCGAGACTGTCGAGGTCGAGAATCGAGAGTCGAGACCGTTGAGGTCGAGAATCGAGAGTCGAGACCGTTCAGGTCGAAAACCAAGAGTTGAGACCGTTGAGGTCGAGAATCGAGAGTCGAGACCGTTCAGGTCGACAACCGAGAGTTGAGACCGTTCAGGTCAAAAACCGAGAGTTGAGACCGTCGAGGTCGAAAACCGAGAGTCGAGACCGTTCAGGTCGAAAACCGAGAGTTGAGACCGTCAATGTCGAGAATCGAGAGTCGAGACCGTTGAGGTCGAGAATCAAAAGTAGAGACCGTTGAGATCGAAAATCGAGAGTCGAGACCGTTCAAGTCGAAAACCGAGAGTTGAGACCGTCGAGGTCGAAAACCGAGAGTCGAGACCGTTCAGGTCGAAAACCGAGAGTTGAGACCGTCGATGTCGAGAATCGAGAGTCGA